GTGTGTCTATATATATATATATTTTTTTTTTTTTCTTATTTTTTTTGTTTTTTGGGGGGCTTCCTGCTTGAGTTATTGGGCTTTTTCCGCGCCTCTGTGCGCTGCCACTGTTCAGGGTTTGGTTGGGGCTTGGGAAGTTTTGGGCCCTGGGGTAGCCGATTCGAACTCTCCAAATTGGTAGCCGGCTCAGCCGCGCAGCCAGAAGCTTGTCTTATCCTAAACCCGAAACCACTAAATAAAACCCTAAACCCTAAACCACTAAATAAGCCCTAAACCCCAAACCACTAAATATGGGCTACAGCTCGGCTGTAAGTTGGAACCTGGGTGTGGCATAGGGCATCGCTGGCGCAACACTTCGGATGAGGGTCTCAGAACCTAGCAACAATTCCTTGTGTGTCCATGTCTCTGTCTGCAACATCTCCGTGCAATGTTCAAGCTTGAGATTGCCCTTTGCAGTGTTGCTGTGCTTGCCACTAGAACTGCGTATCATGCAACTTCATCTTGTGATTCTCAAGAACCCTAAACCCTAAAATCGAGGACTTTGCAAGGACAGAGAAGAAAAAGCGGCTCGCGCCTCTCGTGAAGGCTTTCCGCAAAGCGGAAGCACTGCCAGGGTCCGACCTCAGGGCTTCTGGCGTTTTTGGGGCTCAGAGTGTCAGCTTCAGGGTTTAGGGGTTTAGGGTTTGGGGGTTTAGGGGTGTAGGGTTTCAGGGGTTAGGGTTTAGGGGGTTTAGGGTCTAGGGAGCTTCAAGGGTTTTCTGCGGCTTTCCTTTGAAGGCTGAGGGTCATGATGAAGGTCATGAAGACGCTCAGGGTGGGGCCAGTGATGCCGATGCTGGCAATGATTATGGTGATAATGGTAGTGATGATGAGTATCATGACCATGATCATGATCATGATGGCGAATCACGTCGGCGATGATTGTACCGTTGATGACGATTATGATGCTGAAGAAGGAAATTGGGATGACGACGGCGACCACGGATGGGGATGAATATGGTGAGTCACGACAGTGGCTACCTCCTCATCGGCATAAGCATCACTGCATCACTGACCAGAGTGGTCATCACGACCATGACGACGCTCGATGACGAGATCTTTCTCTGTGCCAGCTTGGGCTCATGAAACCTGCTTTGAAGCGCCCTGAGTTCAGAACCCTCCGTATGCCGCATGCCCTACAGTAGCAGATTCAGACAGGTTCTGCTGCTGAAATGCTGCAGGGTGCCACACCATTTCGCCCGATCTATGCCAAATCGCTGATACCCTAACTCAAGCAATTCGCACACCTTGGACGGTTGCACAGAACATCGATCCCAAGCAAAGCCACCGCCACAAGAAGCAACGCGCATGGGGCTTTGAGCTACAGGCTCGATGGTCGCTGAGCTGGACCCAAACGACTGCAAAGCGCGTGTCCTGAAGAGGACAACGCCCAACCTTCTTGCACCAAGGGAGATTGAACATGTAGGGAAAGCATTGGCAACCACGATGATGAGATGAACATACAGTAACCCTAAACCCTAAACCTTAAACAGTAGTTAAACCCCTAAACCTTAAACCCTAAACCCGAAACCGTGCCAGTAGCCCAGAGGAAGCAGCTCCTCTTCAGCAACCACCCGGTGCATCTTCGAGAGGGCATAGGCCAGCAGCTCGTGCATGTTGATGCCATACTAGCCAGGTGGATTTGGGCTCTAAGGGTTTAGGGTTTAGGTGGATGTTGGGTAGTTTTCTAAATTTGGGTCCCTATTTTGGGGGTCCTTTGTATAAGGGTGCCGTACTATGTTTTGGGACCTAAGAATGGACCCTAATTTAAAGAACTACCCATTTGGGTTCTAGGGTTTTCCACACAGCTGCACCATTTCCACGGTTATTCGCCTAGTAAAACCCTAAAACCCTAAACCCTAAACCTAAACCCTAAACCCTAAACCCTAAGTCGACGTGCTCTCATCGTGTGCTTGGCCTCCTGGGTCTAAGAGACCACTCGCACGGCCGCCCGATGAATGAAACACTCAGCCAAAGGGACGCTTTCAGGGATTTTAGCGTTAGAGGGGAGCCTCACTTCTAAAGAAACCCTAAGCCCTAAACTCCTAAACCCTATCTATCTATCTATCTATCTATACATGTATATGTGTATATATATATAATATAATTATATATATATGTATCATTGGTACTATTATTATTGTTGTTGTTATCATTACTACTATTATTATTATTGCTATTGTCATGACTATCATTATTGAGGGGAGCCTCACTTATGCTTCAAGCTCCCTGCGTAGCGCCTCCGTCTCGCCTCTGGGGCCTCGCGGCGCCAGGACGAAGACGCGGGCGCCGCTCTTCGTCTGCCCGAGGGTTTAAGAGTTTAGGGTTTAGGAGTTTAGGGTCTAGGGTTTTAGGGTTTAGGAGTTTAGTGTTTAGGGTTTAGGGCCTAGAATTTAGGAGTTTAGGGTTTCGGGTTTAGGTTTTAGGGTTTAGGAGTTTTGGTTTTGGGGTTTAGGAGAGGCAAAGCACCTTCTAATGTAGGGGCCCGCAGTAATACCATTTTTTGGGGGGGTTCCTTATTATGATTAAAGGGGCCCACAGCATTACCAATACTAATACTACTACTAATACTATTTGGGGGTTCCTTCTTGTGATGAAAGTCCCAGCTCTGCAGCACAGCTGCACTGCATGGTTCCTCGCCTTTGCTGTTTTGCAGGGCGCTGCGCTGTGTTGCTGGCCACCGCGGGGCCAAATGCCCAGATCAAGGGAGGGCAGCTAGCTCATGTTCCCAGGCGGAACATAAGCCACTGCCAGCTCTCAGGCTCTTACACGGCACCAGGTTTCAAAGGAGTGACTAGACTAGGAATGCAGTCTGTTCTGCTTCAGCGGACCCGAGGTAAGATAGACCATGGTATGCGCATGCGAAAGCAAGTAAGCCTTAAGATGCGGTGAGGCTTATGTGTATCAACACCCAGCCATGACAATTCAAACAATAGATACTCGTAGATGCTAAGAATACTAAGGCAGGCTCATGGCTGTTACCTTAGGTCAGCCGCGACAGCGGAAGTGGAAGTGCAGCCGCAGCTGCACGCTGTCGAGAAAGTCCTGCCCTGTGCCCGGTAGTCTTTCTACTTGGAAAGACCGGGCTGCAGGTTTGCAGTGAAAGCGGTCTGCTGTCTCAGTCGGGATCGCTTGAAACTTGAGGCTTTCGCCTCACACCATCAAGACGGAAGCCTCGGAAGCCGCTTGGACCGCCTTGGCGAAGCCCAGGCGCTGCTGTCCCCAGTCGAACTGGACGTAGTACTTGCGCATGAAGACATCTCCCAGGATCCAGAGAGGACCCCGCGGCGCGGGGACGTCGATGCCGGTAAGGCCGAGGATGCATTGCGAGCCGGATTGCTGCAAGATGAGGTCAGGCTGCGAGAGGGTGTAGTCCTTCCCACCCAAGGTGAAGGTGAGGTCCGGCAGCTTGGCGCTGCAGTCCACCACGTACTCCTTGCCCAAAATGGACTTGGCACCCAGCTTCGCAGCAATCTTGGCCACATCGTCTTTGGGTCCGGCCAACAGAGAGGTGCCAGAATCCACGATGGCACTCTTCACGCTCGACACGCTGTCGCTGCCGAGCTTGACAGCATCCAGCTTGATCTGCCAGTAGGTCGCGGAAGACAAGGGAACGAAGCTAAAGTCTCCACTGTAGTGCTTGGGATCCACGCCGCCGAAGAGAAGCTCACCCGGCTGATTGTTGCCGAGGTAGAAAGCGAAAATGGGCTTCGGGAGCTTGCCAGACTCGACCAGGGCCTTCATCGGGGTCTTCACGTGCCCCACCGAGATCGAATCCCATCCCAAGCCGAGGATGCCGTCAAACTTGCCGAGGATGTAGCCGATTCCCAGGCCACTCGTCTTGTCAACCTCAGCGAAGGTGTAGTCCTTCAGCTTCAGATCGCCAATCGCGACATCGTCTGCCGAGAACACACCAGAAACCGGGCCTGAACCATACTGGATCGCAAAGGTTGTGCCATTCTTCTTGTAAGTCGAGGACTTGGAGTGATCGTAGATGTTGTGGCTGGACAGGAAGGGCTTGTGGTTGGGAACCCAGAGGTTGCTTGAGCCGGTGTCAAAGACCACCATCTCCTTCTGCCCAGGTGTGCCCACCTCGATCTCACCGAAGTACTGGGCGTTCATGTAGTCGTCGATGATCACAGGGTCGTCGCCCCTGGCGGCCAGGCGCGCCTCCCACTTCTGGACGCCCATGTTCACTGAGTCCAGGGTCTCCTCGAAGCTCAGCTCGCGCTTCTGGAGGGGAACACGAATCACGGCTGCCACTGCCACCGTAGATGCGGCAGCCACAACACTTCGAATGACTCGCGACATGTTTGTGGTCGGAGTGGGAAAACAATCAACCTGAAGCAAGGACTCTCGGCACCGTCTGTTGCTACTGGCTATGTTGAGCCGGGTAGTATGGCGATCCGAAGGTTCTGTGATCTTGCATCCCGATGCCTCCCATGCAACGGCACTTCTGATGGATTCCCAACAGAGCCTTTCAAGCGCGAGAGTCAGAGTTGAGCATCAACACGCATATCGAACCTTGACGTCGGTCCACCAAGCCAAACGATCGTACCAGTCCTGGGACTTCGAGGTGTGCTGCCACGTTAGCTTCCAGGATCTGTCGGAATATGACTGAATATGACCTTTCGCTTAAGCGCTTGGGTTGAGGACTTGGAGATGCTCCCAGAGCGATGTGTGTCTGTGCGGCTGTGTGCACGATGCCTGGGACCGGAAATGAGTGATGCCTGGATGCAGGGACTTTGGGGATCCCAAGGCTGCGGCTTCGTCACCGAGAGGTGCCTGCTGAGGTTCCGGCTTCTCGTTTGCGCTGGTCCACTGCGCTGCCTGTGGCATAGCGGCTTTTGGCCTTTTGGGATGGTTTCGGCTTCGGGTGCTGCAGCCTGCCGGGATATGACAAGTTCAATGATTCAAGGCAGAAGGCCCCCAAACCCTAAAGCCTCAAATCCTCTAGGCATCAGTTGCCCATTCCTTGAAGCTGTGCCACGTTTACGCGATCGTCGTTCTGTTGAACCCTGGCGGAAAGAGAATGCGAATGCGATGCTTGGAACCACCCTCTACCCATAGGCTCCAAAGTAGTTCCATTTTGGGGTGACCTTATAGGATCCTGTAAATGAACCCCCAGAAAGGGAACTACTATGGAGCCTACGGGTAAATCCTTAACCCAGATCCAAGCCTGTCTTGAGGAGCTGCTCGTAGCGCGCTTGGGCTGCATCTGCCTCCTCCTGTGCCCATTCAGAGCACAACAAGTTCAAAAGGCTGCAACACTGGGTGGTAGTCGGCTTAGCTGGGTTACCCCTGCTGTGGATATTTCGAGTGATGCAAGAACACATGCTGTAGTCGGCCAATTACCTCGAGATCGAGAAAGCTAGCAGGCAATGCCCCACGACGGCAACGACGGTCCCAAGCCTTCAATTGCCGCAAAATGCCATATTCAACCAAGGAAGCCTGAGCTTTACTACTCCTGCTCTACCGGTGCTGCTAATGCTGCTGGTTCTGACTCGGGACGACGATGTCCTCTCGACACTCAACCCGAGCACGCAATGATCTTTTTCTTCCCGGACTTCCGTCTGCAGGACTGGTTCTGGCTTGGAGATACAAGCGGGGGCAGGAGATACTTTTGTTCCATATAACATGTCACAAATCAACCTCGGATGAACAGAAACATGCTTCTCAATTTTCATTCCGAAAGATTCGAAGCAGTTCGATTACGATGGGGGGTGAGAGAAGGATAATACATACATATATATATACACACACATATGGGTATGTAGAGTTTCAAAACCCTTGGTTGCCAGACTGTTTCATTAACATCCATGCACTTGAAAGCAAGCTGCTGCTTGGTGGATTTGCCCTGGTTTAGACTTAGCTTATCATCAAGATACCTGACTTATCACGAAGTTGATCACATTGTGGTTGCGATGAAGCCGTCATGTTCCGAAAACCTCTTGTACTTTCCAGCCAATGCGCCACTCTATGCTCAAGCCTGAAGCCCCAACCGCAATCCTCAAGGCCATTAAGTCCACAAAGCAATCAACGCGCCAGTAGTTCATGATGAAAACCAGGTACGCAAGCTATAGCTGCGTAGGAGCTAGACCACCAAACCAGCAAGCTTTCCGTGACATGAAGCGATGTGAAACCGAGGCCATCTCAGAATTCGAGGTCGCTGCGACTGTGCTGCATAAATGGCCAACCCTGCGTCAATCACTCCAGATCCTGTTGGCATACAGAGTATCCCACATATATAGTATGCACAGTATCACTACGGCCAGTAGCAGACCATGCCCGTTGCTGGCATGGGATCAAAACGAGTTAGATAAGGCTTCGATGCTGCCTTAGCTCTTGAAACAATCACGTACATATGCGTGGCAATGCTATGGCTTTTCAGATGTGCTGGATTGTGCGGTGCCCGAAGTCTGAGAAGATCTCCACGAACTATGAACACGAAGTGGGAACAGCTACTCCAGAGTGTTGCGATCGAGCTCCAATCGGATACAGCATGACTGCTAGAAATATCATACGACAGAGCTCCAACTCTTACTCTTATGGCACATCCATCTATTGGGGCCGTGAACAGTTAGACTCAGACTGGGGTTTGGAGATCTCGCTCGCCGTACCCACTGTGCAAAGACTACGCCGCAGTCAGCGGTGCTGGAGGGTTCGCCTGCGAAATATTTGGATTCGGCCCTGGCTGGGTCTTTACAAGTTGAGCCAGCGACACCTGTTTGTAGAGGAGGATGATGATGATGATGACGACGATGAGGATCGGACTGCATGAGGAAGACGTTGATGAATCATGATGGTGATCAGTGATGAAAAGAAGAGTCCATGCTGATGAGGGTAAGGAATGTGCTGAGGAACATCAAGACAACGATGATACCTATGAGTCTTTAGGTTGTGATTGTAGCGGTGCTGATGACCATGCGAGCGGAAGAGCCACAAGGCCACGTCAAGCAGGGCAAGAACTCAAGCTGACTGCTTGCCCGAAGGCCCCAACATGACCAGCCCATATTCCCACAACGAACGGTTTAGGGCTTAGGGTTTGGGAGCAAGCCAAGCAAGTCAATGCAGTACACAGCAGGCTGAGCACGTCACCGGGGAAGAAATACACCTCGGCTACGAACATGATGCAGCAATACTTGCAGATTCTGCATGATGATGATGCTGATGATGACGCCGATGGCGATGGTGGTGATGATGGTGAAGGTGATGATGATGATGGTGATGATGATGATGGTGATGATGATGATGATGAAGATGATGGCGGTGCTGACGATTAAAGATGTACGGCGGCGAGGATTGTGCTGCTGCTGACGATGCTGGTAATAGTGTTGTTCAGCGACTCATGGCTTTCACACAATGAGCCCACAGGCCTGAGCAAGCGCTCCCTGTCCCTTCCGCCAGACTCTTCAAAACTGTTTCGGGGCCCTGCCGAGGACACGACTTCGAGGGGTCCGCCTGCAAAGCTGGCAAGTAGATGAATGCAAACAGCGTCTGGCTTGGTGAAGCGAGCGTCATCTTTCCTGCCCCGCTGATCTGCGCCTGTCTTCTCAATCGCTCTACATGCAATGTGCTCATTGGCTTTGTTGCCAAACCTGTGTCCCAAGAGCTTCATTCCCAAATCACTCCTCACTGCTCAAGCTCGAAGAGCGGAAGAGCGTGACCCAAACCATTCATCATCACAGTAAGCAGATTGAGAACGGGGGGCATCTGAGCCTTCCCTGTACTTTACGGCTTGGCATTTCGGGTTCTGGGACTACGGTTCAGGCCACGCACCCCAAAAACCAACATCCTGGCCCCAATCCCAAGGCTCTCCGCCCGATCTACTCGCGCAAGACCGCGGCAAGCACGGCAAAAGCCTGCCTCTGTTGCCAGCTTCGCTTCCGTCAGCGTGGCCTAGAGTGGCCCGGGGCCAGATCCAGAGCAACAGTCGGTGAAGTTCTCCGAGTACATGTATTGCGAATGTATCGACAGAAGACGTGCAAAGCACGGGGAAGTGCTGATCACGTACTGCCACCCATGATGTTCGTCGTGATAATCTGATAACGAAGATGGCTCTGAAGAGACAAGCGATACTTATCTAGCATTCTGCTGACACCACAGTGGCAATGCTACAACTTGCAGCATGAACAACACAGAAGGGCAACGGCAATGGAGTACAGCCACGCTGTGATCTTAATGCTGGCTATGGCGACCATCATAAGAATCTGCCGACTCCTCAGCATCAGCCTTTGTTTGGCAAATATTTGTCGTTCCTTCTGTGTAAGCTGGCATGCAAAAGTATCCAAAAGAAACTGCGTGCGCCGACACAAGCGATGTGGATGAGGAGGAAGAACAAGTTGCTGCGCTGATGACGATGGTGCTGCTTGAGAGAAGCAAGATGCAGCACCACCCACTGCGATGTGTTGTTCCTTAGTCGGGCTGCTGAAATGAAGATGATGTAAAAATAGTGATGGTGATGACGATCATGACGATGAATGTGATGCCCAAGTCCTCGAAACGCAACAAAGTCACCACCTCCTCTTCCTCCTCACCACATCATTGTCATCACCGTCATCACGCTGCCACCGTTATCACATCATCATCATCATCATCAGCATCATCATCAGCAGCAGCATCAGCATCATCACCGCAATCAACATCATCATCATCATCATCATCAGCAGCATCATCATCATCATTATCATCGATAGTACTCATTCTCATTATCTCCTTTACATCGTAGTCGTTGACAAGAGCAAACATAAAGGCAAACCAACACAGTCTCTTTCCGGAGCAAACAGTCAAGGTCGTCCTCTAACCCCAGATAAATGACAGAAAAATCTCATCCGAGTAGCCCGAAGCCCCTTAAACTCCCGAACAGCAAACCCCGTGTCCCCCGTGCATTCCGACCATCGCCCGGATCCGTTGCTGTTGAAGCTCCTCAGAACGGTGAGGATCTTCCAAAAGCCCAGTAGACCCTACACCCCCAAATTTGAAGTCTGAAAAAACTCCATGCAAGTTTGGGACTGCCCCCCGCGACCGTGTACTTCCCAGCAGCTGCTCCCATCCCGTTTTTGGAGTTGGGAGAGAATCGGGATGTCTCTTACCGTGATGGGAACCCTCAGTCCTCATGCTTCCGCCGCAGCTGAACGCAAAGAGCCGTCGCCTTGCCAAGGGCTTCAGATGTTTCCATGGCCGCTACAGGGACTCAAAACATTCACTGAGATGCGGGGTGAAGCTTTCTCGGAGAAGCATCGCGCCTCGTCCAGGAAATCAGCAAACCTTGGCTGTCACGACTCGGGAAGCCGACGGACACCAACTACTTT